TTTAAGGTCTATAGGCGTAGACCGAAATTGTAAGTGTATATTCGTGTTGAAGGAGAAGATGCTTATTTTGAACTATCAAATATCTTGTATCCAAATGTTACTTATCCGTAGTAATATGCGGCGTAGAGCCTGCGAAATATTAGACGGTCCTGGAAGTTTTAAACTGCGGACTTGACCATAACCACTAGGTCGTATTTGAATTTGAGAGCGGAGCTGATGTTAACATAGTTTTCCTACACCGGCTGAGCTGAATTAGAGAATTGTTCTTAGGACGCTGCAAGAATGGTAAAACGTCCTATTAGCGTCTGTAGTGTTTGAAGTCATTGTGTTAAATGGATCATTTGCGTCATATAATTATTTCAACTACGAGCGTCCGTTCTGCACGCTACTGTCAACATCCAAATTGAAGTTTTATCCAGTGACAAACCTACGTATATATTCCTTGTCCTCAATTAAAATGCATATTTTTTGGGATTGAATAGGCGAAGAACATCTTTATAGGCAGGCATTCCTCGAAACTGTTCCATTAGAAACCCTGAGAAAACTGTAAGCATAATTTGGTTGGAATTTGAAATTGATATTTGTTAGTGCCAGGAAGGAGCTATCTACACAAACTGATAAAATGCACAAATTTTTAAGAATGTCAGCAAAAAAATTTCCTTACAGAGCAATATTTGGCGATTTTTTGCAATAAGTGGTGCAGTAGAAAATAGGCAGTTTAAAAAACTCCCACAGAAAAAATGGAGGGAAGAGTTCATCGTGCCCTATAAGGAGAGTTTTGCTGATATTTTTATGAAAAGTTTGTATACTTTATATGTGCACATTGCCATAGGGCACCTCGCGTAAAACGCCACATCGTCTTACTGGTCATACATGTTTGCGGACCAATGGTACGATGAAAAATGCCGTACGATGTATTTAATATGTTTACTTGATAAAACACTTGCCATTTTTGGGTCGCCTAGAAGACATGTAAAGACTTTCGGTTTAATGTTTTCGTGAGGGAGAGTGAGAAACAGAGTAGATGTGGGGGCATGGCAAATAACAATAAACAACTACACCAATAGGTGAGTAGGTTTGCATTTGGCGCCGTACGTTTGTATTAAGTGATTTGTCATACCCACCCACTTACAGTGAATTTCTGGAGAGGAAGACAACAATATGCAAGGCATATTAATGACCGGTACAAAACAACCCCCGCAGGTTTACGTTACAAATGTACCTGCAAGTGTCGTACTGTAACCCTGTGACACTTAACTAGAAGCAAACTGTAATACGAAATGTAAAGCCAGAGTCACTCTTACTTAATCCGTGATTGTAGCTGGGTTACGTAGAATACGCCTTTCCTATTTAAAACGAACCAGGTGGAATTGCTCCACGAAACCCTAGAATATTTACTTTCGAAACAGTTGCAAACAAACAGCTTATCTTCTTCGAGGTACCCGTACACAGCAGGACGGGACACTACGTACTTCCAAGTACCCTAATAAGGCATACCCCAAGGACATCTCGCCTTTGTTGAGTAATCAATCAGTGATCAACAAACGCAGCTTTATGAGCAGCTTGCTCATTCGAGCAGAAACATCTACCGGTTACAAATAAAATACCTCCGTAAACTATTTTCCCGAAATGCGTATCTCCGGATTTTCTTCGTTGACGCATCGGACAAAAACATTCCGAAGAACAGGCCATCTTAGGAGCTGCCACCACTTAAGCGCAGAACTCAACAAACTGGCCTACACTTACATGTGTACATAATATTTGTGAGATCCACGAAAGACAGCAACGAAAGCACCGCATACGTACATGCGTGTTACAGCTCTTTTAACGACTGACTGCACAGGTAAATACGAACAAAGGTTATTCACTAACACTCTACCGCGGTATTATATTGTGCTTGTAATCGCCTGAGTTACTTGCATTCGTACAACTATTTTTTTAAGAGGATAAGCGGGTGTAGGATATTCGAAAATGCACACAATATGTGTCGAAACGAAGGTATCCACAGCAAAATAAGTTTAAGCCGGATCGTCGTCTGACACATAGTGGAGAAAGAACGGCAAACACAGCTGCCATCCTCGGTGACTCGAAAAACATTGTTTTGACCTGTATATAGGCACTGTGATGTGCGGTATCACACTAACACCTTCAAAGTGAGAACAATATAAGAAAGAAACATCCACGCAATGATCACAATTACTACCATCAGTACAATTAGCCAGCCTACACAGGAACAGCTTATGTATAGGGCATTTTAAGAACCCACCTCTGGCACTGCACGGCACGACTTCATTCTGCTAACGACCTCCGACATGTTGAGGCTCTGTGGATAAAGCAGGTACACCTGGTTGTCCACAGGCAGACGCCAAAGTTCATCCTCAATCGCAGCCATATCGTCAAAGGAGAGCATGCGAGGATGACTGTCAAATTTCACCACTTTGCTGCTGTTAACGCGGTAAAAGCGGGTTGTTGCGACGGTTGGATTCACTGTTACGTTAAGTTGCAAGCGGTAAATTCCGTTAACAGTTGCTCGTATTGGAGCATACCAGTCACCTGCACAGACCGCTGTTCCGTTATTCTCGCCAGAGGCTGTGGGAAAGCTCCAATCATCATTGTGCTCCGTCGCTTGGAAGAGCCATTACAAAACAGAAGGCAAAACGGCTAATACAATTAGCAGGAGGAGATGGTAGAGCATGCGACATCTTTTCAATCCTCGGGATGGAGCTGGACGTTTATGCGAAGACATCCGTTTCTGAAGCTACATTTTCGCGAGTGGTTAAACCTAGAGAACTTTCAGGTGACCCTGGCTGTCAACGTCTGATGAGCTCTTCGCTCTGTAGGAATCACTTTTTGGCTAGGCAAAAAAGCTACTACTACAACGAGGAGGAGAAGAAGGTTGATCAAGAGAAAGCTTCTTAATCCTTCGAAAGGAGCTTGACGTTGATGCGAAGAGATCCATAGCTGAAGCCTCATTTTCGCAAGTGCTTAAAATTAGAGCACTTATAGGCAACCTTGCCTGTCAACGTCTGATAATTTATGTCCTCAGTTGGAATCTCGGATTGGCTAAGAGCACGCTTCGTGCATAGCTATATCACCTGAGCAGATGTATCTTGGCTCAAAATAACGCGTTTCTGTGTCTATCACGTTTGCGTGAATCCGAAGGCATTTATGCAAGACTAATTATTTTGCCGTGAGACGTGACATATGTTCACCTAGTAGTCAGACACAAACTTCGTTTAACACAGAGACCACCTTGAACGTGAATTTAGCTTTTACTTTATTCGACGGCATAGTAGCTTTGGTGTACTATCCACTACACTATGAAAATGCGTAAAGCCTCCCTCCAAATTTTACAAGCGAAAGAGATACGTTTATTGAAAATAATTAAGATGTCGTTGTAAGTTCACATTTTCAGGTAGTTGATTGGAGACAGTAGTCTCCTTACTTAATGAAAAATCATCCGTTATGCTGACTTAAATCTTATTAAGGCAATTATGCTTATTTTGCAGTCTCGACTGAAGATACCGGCATTTAAAGGGGCGTCTTTTCAATAACGTGCAAATTATATTTTATCTAAGTGAAGGATATGCAATAAGCGTGTATTCTTCGTTGTTATTTTTGATTATCCTATAAATCGAAATCTAAACTTGTTTCTGAAATTGTACGCATAAATATATATTTTTTTTATTATTTTTGTACCCGATGACTCGTTTTTGTAAAGTTATACACGAACAAAGGGGTCGTTTGGATCAAAAAAGACAGTTTCGCATACGCTTAAAGGCAGGCATCCCTAAAATGTAAGTTCAGAGGTAATCGATAAATGTATTCAGTCAATGTTCGATACTGCATCCCCAGGTCGCGTCAGACTTGATAGGAATGCTCAAGGAACAGTTGGCATTTCAACGTGCAGATACAGTTATATAGCCATTTGATGTTGGCGTAAATTGGGATTTGAAATTTGCGTTACATAGAGGTGGACAGGATTAGAAGTCGCTATAGCTTAACGGTTAATTGGCAA